GGGCGCAATAGAAATTTCTTGCGCACGGACCCCAACATTGAAGCTGCCCGGCGGGTGCAGGGCGGGACCCGGGTCTTAGTCAGCTGCTGTTGCCGCCTCAATGATCACACAGGCCGCTTCTCTTGCCCTGCCTGCCAACCATCGCTCATTGCAAGAACAAACAACCTGCAATTTGGCATCTGTGTGCTGTGCTCCAATGTGCATGCCTCTCCCTTATCCTGACTCGGAGGTACATGCACGGGCGATGAACATCACTTTTCGGATTGAGCGAGTCGATCTCTCACAGTCCCACGTTGAAGTAGACTGTCAGCTGCCCCACTTTCCCGAGGTCGGCTGCAATTGCGGCCCGCCTGGCAGGCTCTCGAGGCTTGTTATCTTGTGGCAGCAAGTCCCAGCCGGTCAATTCTGCGGTGGTCGACAGCTTTCAGCAATGACAGCAATGTCCGATGGCTAGATGAGCACCTGCTTGTCGTGTGTCTCGGGGCGCGCATAAGTAATTGCGTCGCAACTCCTTACCTCCGGCACGCAATGCCGTGCTATGATGGCGTCTTGTGTCTCTTTTGGCGTGGCCTCCGTGGTCATGGCCAACCCCCCAGTCAGTCAGAGTCATCTTGTCAGTGTTCCCCTGTTCGAGTTGAGGACACTTGTGTCACACGACTCATCGGCGATGGGGCAGGCCAAGTCGATGGGTCAAATACACATACACAGCGTGCATTTAGTGAGCAGCTTGCGGAGGGTTGGCCAAAGTGGAAGCTGGGCAGCCGTCGAGACTGCGCACTGCCCAGGTGAACAGAGAAGCAGACAATTAAGCCCAGGGGGATTGAATGATGGGAGGAGGTCTTACCGCCTGTCTGGCCCAAGCGCCGATCGCGGGCGATTGATGCGTGAGCACGCAAGTCGCAGGCCGGTCGTAATCCAATCCTACGCCGTGGATGGGACGAAGGAGAGTTGCTGGGAGTCAGGAGGCACATTCGTGTCAAACAGAGCACGAGCCCGATAAGCACAGACAGCTCAGCATAACTGAGGCATCCTCGTACAGAGGTCACGCCCAGCAGGCTCGACGGACACATATCTTCACCTGCACCTCACTTCGCCCTGTCTCGTGCCGCTCTTCATGTTCCCCCAGGATAGCACAATCGTGAATGTCTGTCCTCACCCTACGACATTACCCGCCAGCTGACGACAGACACACCAGCCGAGATGCGACTCGTCCCGCTCGAGACAGCCGGCGGGCAGGCCTTGGGCAGCGTCCTCGGCCGCAGCCGACCCATTGACATTGCCCGCAATCACCGTGGTCAGCACACCAACAACGGCAGCAACGACGGCGAGGTTCGCGGGTGCCGTGGCTGCCAGAAGATGCAGCACAATGAAGAGAACCAGAGACTGGCCATGTCGGCGTCGACGGCGTCGTCCATCACCCTGCAATGTGAGTGGATCGTTCTTCTCTCAGAGACCGTCGTCAATCACAGACAGCCCAGACAGCACGCAGTCGTCAGAAGACAGCTTTGGAGATTGAGCTTTCTCCAAGCCAGAGAGGCCAGATCCAGTTGTCGTCTCCACAGCACACCCTCCGACTCCGGAAGCCTGCCCTCACGCCCCCACCAGACCGGCCGCGTCCGACAAGCCTCGATGGTTCAGATCGAGGGCGTTGCAGATGAGGCTCAAATCTCAGAGTCAGGGCTGCCCCGCGGGTCGGGCGCAGGCTAACGAGACATGCAGCAAGTGCTACCCTGTTATGACTCTGGAGCCTCCCCAATCCACTCTCGCTGCTGAGGCTTGCCCTGAGAGCGAGGAGAGCTAACTCGACCCTATGCCGAGACCCCTGCCAACCCTTGCTTCATCCTGCCGCTCTGACGTGCCTCCCCACACTCTCGAGCCACTGCCCGACCAGCTCATTGACCACCTCGACCACGGTCACGGCAACACCACAATGCTACCCACGCGACCGACTCCTGAACAATCCCTGGCCTTCGCTGACAGCTCCTCTTGCTCCTCCTAGCATCGCTCTCGTCCATGATGCCACCCTCGTCCTCCGCCTCCTGGGCACCGTCGGCGACGACACAGTCGACCCAGCATCCCGCGCCCGAGCTACACCACAGCCTGAAGCACGACAGCTCCGTCCTCGCCCTCACAGTCAGCGATGACAGGATATATGCCGGCACCCAGGACGGTGAGATCGTGGTCTGGTCCCTTGGCACATACCGCCAGCTGCACAACATTCAGGCGCACAAGCGCAGTGTCCTCAGCCTGTTCCTCTCCGATGACGGCACAATGCTCTTCTCGAGCGCCGCAAGCGACCCAATCGTCAACGTGTGGTGCCCAACCTCCATGCAGCGTCTATACGAGATCTACAGCACAAACGACAGCTTTGGCGACATTTTCTCCGTGGCATACTCCCCGCAGCACGAAACAGTGTACTACGGCGCACAGAACACCTCGATACAGTGGGCCAGCCTTGCGGATCTGAAGCAGCAGGTTGCCCACGACTCTGCAAATCATCCCGACCGCAGAAATCACCGATTCTTCGACTCCCGAGCTGTTGGCGGCGGCGCCAGCACACCGCGTCTGACCGACGAACGATTCGACCTGATCCCTAGATCACACACAGTCATCGAGACTGACAAGCGGGCGAGCCTCATGTACGCGCACTATGGTTTCATCTACTGTATGATGATTGCCAAGGGTCTCACGGCCTTCGCGGATGCCGAAGAGGAGGTCTTGGTAACCGGAGGTGGTGACGGCACCATCAAGGCCTGGAAGCTGGGAGGTAAAGACGTGGCCCCGGACGGACTCGAGCACGGCCTAGAGGAAGTCATGCTTCTGGGTGAAGAAGATGCCAACTCAGTCATGTCCCTACAAGTCGATGGCTCGTTTCTATACAGTGGCAAGCTGAGCGGCGTCATCGAGCTGTGGGACCTCGATACTCAGCAGAAGCTTCGCCAGATCAAGGCACACGACGGTAACGTCTGGAGCTTACAGATGGGCTGGGGCTATCTCTGGAGCACAGGTTCCAGTGGTACCGCTAGTGTAAGCCGTTCCATCACATCCCCATCGGTACTGATATCTCTAACCTCCCCTGCAGAAACACAGCACCGTGCAATACGGCAGGTATCAGACTACGGAGTCTCAAAACGTGAGCCAGAAGTATCAGTGCCTCACCAAATGGAATGCGCACGACGGCAAGATCCTCGCCTCGGTAGTCACAACGCACGAGAACAACCAACTGTATATTACGGGTGCAAATGACAACAACGTGTCAATCTGGCTGTTGGGGAGTGAGGCGTCCACTGACCCAGAGAGCCACGAAGAGTCGGAAGATATGATGATTACCTCACTGCGAGAGTTCGTCTCGTACAAGACCATCTCATCGAATCCCGAGTATGCAGAGGACTGCCGGCAGGGTGCCACATGGCTTCGGACGCTGTTCAAGAAGCTAGGCGCAGAGGTGGAGATGCTCCACGCAGACGACTTCTTACACCACCCAGTGGTCTTCGCGAAATTCATTGGCAAGCAGAAGACTGGCGAGAAGCGGAAGCGAGTCTTGTTCTACGGCCACTATGATGTGGTCCCAGCAGACACGAAAGATGCGAAGTGGGACAGTGACCCGTTCCAGCTCAAGGGCTCTAATGGGTTCCTGTACGGCCGTGGTGTCAGCGACAACAAGGGGCCTATCATGGCAGCACTTTACGCAGTCACAGATCTAATGCAGGCGAAATCGCTTGACACGGACATCCTCTTCCTTATTGAGGGACAGGAAGAATCAGGCTCCAGCGGTTTCCGTCGAACCATTCGAAAGCACAGGGAGCAGATCGGACATGTCGACTACATCCTGCTTGCCAACAGCTACTGGCTCAACGATGACATCCCTTGCCTCACCTATGGCCTTCGTGGCGTTATGCACGCCACGATCTGCATCGAATCGCAGCGACCCGACCTCCACTCCGGTGTCGATGGCTCGTACATGGTGAACGAGCCCATGTCTGATCTCATGACGATTCTTTCGAAGCTCAAGGGACCCCGGAACACCATCATGTTGCCTGGCTTCTACGCAAACATCCCTCCGCTCACAAGTGAGGAGGAGGCACGCTACGACGCCATCATTGACGCTTTGGGCGTTCGAGCCAAGGGCAAAGCTAAGGCAGACATGCTCAAGAAGAACCTGATGGCCCGTTGGCGCGAACCCAACCTGACGCAACATGCTGTCAATGTCTCCGGGTCGGGCGGCGGCTTGATCAGCAGTCATGCGAGCGCCAAGATCAGTATCCGTCTCGTCCCTGGCCAGGAGGTTCAGGAAACAGTCGAGGCGCTGAAAGTCTACCTGCAAAGCGAGTTCGACAACCTTTTGTCTGACAACGTGCTTAAGGTGCAGATTGACAACACGGCCGAGCCCTGGCTTGGCGATCCTGATAACTACATTTTCCGTACCCTGGAAGAGGCCGTGGTCAAGGCGTGGTCGCCATTCTTCACCCCGGAGCATTCGTCAGATGACGAGACTGAGGACAAGACCGGTGATGCGTCTCTACAAGGCAAAATCCACCGCAGCGGCCCGAGCAAGCCCCTCTATATCCGAGAGGGCGGCTCCATCCCAGCGATTCGATTTCTGGAGAAAGAGTTTGATGCACCTGCGGCTCACCTCCCCTGTGGGCAAGCGTCTGATGCCGCGCATTTGAATAACGAGAAACTCCGGCTCGAGAACCTCTTCAAGAGCCGGGAGATCTTTGCTGATGTGTTTAAGAGACTGTAAGAGAAAATCGGCTTACAGTCCGTATTCTGGTTTTTGTAGATTTTGGTATGGTGGCAGGCAAGGAGTTTGGGGTTTGTGTATCATACAATAAAGAACGATCTGTTTTGAATGACTGTGTCGAAGTGTAGGCAGGAGTAAAGATTCAATGACCCCTAACTTGGAAAAGATGATCGGGACGCCAGTCCACAACTGGGTCAGTATGGTTCTTCCTTTGTAACCACTGCTAACGGCCACGCAACTCAACAACCAATCAAATGTCTTCGTGGCTCAGTTGGTTAGAGCGTTGGTCTCATATCATTCAGTTGATTGACTCGATTAAACAATATTGGGACATCCAAAGGTCGTGAGTTCGAGCCTCACCGAGGACAAATCCTTGATTCTTTCATTTTTGCATATTTTGCACTCGGGCTCGGCAGACGGATCTTGTCTCCTACCTGTTTCTTCATCTCTTTTCCTTCTCCGAGTCAGGATCTGACTTGTCCGCGTTGTGCTCGCGCCGCTGTGAGGCAGATCCCACATTTACAGAGAGATGGTTTGGTCTCGATTGCATGGGAACAGAGGATCTACAGAGTTTGCAACACTACAATAATACGTCCAGCCCTACCGCAAGCCACACGCAACCGCAACCTTGCAGCCGCTGGATGCGCGTCTAGAGCAACACGGGTGATATTCCTGGAAGCACTCGAGGCGTGGGAGTTGCCGCGCCCCGGTTTTCGAGATGCCCGGGGCCAATCGGGTGTTGTAGAATCCGGGTGCCTGGCTTCGACGAGACCGGCAACCACAGACACAGCCAAGAGCGCCCAGGTGGGCAAGCGTACCCCAAAAAAGGTGAGAGCTGGTGTCTTCTTTGCCTGCTTTGCCCAATCAATGGGCTGGGTAACCTGCTGCCTGGCATCGGGGACGGTCTGGAGCAGTGTCTAGTGGCCACGGACGGGTGCCCTTGGCCGACCTTGGAAACACGACGAGATGCCCGACGTAGGTGCCTGGCACGGGACACGAGGAGATCGGCGGGCTCGTGGACCTCTCACTGAGACAGGACGTTGATTCCCGATATGGGGGCAGAATTGCATCCGGAGGGAATGTGTGTGCCGGCACGCCGGGGACCACGCGGGTATCAGCTCGATGTGCTATCATGCAACCATTGGCCAATGAAGATCAACAACCCCCAGATATAAATCGTGCTCCCCGTCTGCAAGTCAACAACATCTCTGCTTGGTACTTGCCCGCTAAGCTCTCTCTCTTTCTCACGACCTTGCCAACAGCCTCGACCCCGAACATCGCTCGTTTTAAGAAGGTCCGTCCGATGCTCATCAAGAGAAAAGCAATGAACTCGTATCACAAGACAGATTTTGGTGAGTCCTCATTCACCAACAGCCAGTACTTTGTAGTCCCCCTCAAGATACCAGCCATCTGATACCACCTCCTTCCACAACAACAGACAACATGTCCGACCAAACCCGCGCCGGCGACGTTCCCCAATCCGGCTCTCCTCCGCCTTTCATTACTACTTCCCCGGCCCTCGCGCCCGGCCACCACAACATGTACCAGCAGCCGAGCAACTGCTGCACCACGGTCCACCACCATCACCACAGCGGCGCCGGGGCGCCACCTCACCCCGTGACGGCCGCCGCCGGGGGCGTGAACCCGTGGTACGCCGAGCCCCCGCGGCTGTACGGCAACGTCGTGCCCACGCCGCTGCTGCAGCGGCACCCGGCGCTCGTGCAGTGCCCGGGGTGCAGGGACATTGCCGTCACGTCGGTGCGGCACGTGCAGGGAAAGGGCACGCAGTAAGTCCTTCTGCACTTCTATACTCAGCCATACCGTGCAAAGAACAGGTCTCTGTTCATATACCCTACTCCCTCGCGGCTCTTGTGAAGCTTCCTACTTGCCTTCAGTACGTAGGGGCTACTCACATTCACTGCCCTAATTCATCCCTCAGCTTCGCTTCCTTTCTGATCCCAGGCGGCTGACCCATGTATGCAAAAACCAACAGCTGGATGGCCACCTTCTTCTTCGTCTTCACCGTCGTCGGCACCTGGATCCCCTACGCGTCGAACCACTTCAAGAACGCCGAGCACTCGTGCTCCCGGTGCGGCCGGGTCCTCGCCGTGCAGCGCTTCGGCGGGGGCACGAAGGCTGTGCTGATGTAGGAAGGGGGATGTGACATGGCGATATCCTTCCGCACGTGGGTTAGGCTCGGGCAGGAGTTGTTCTATTTGAGGAAAAGGGGGTGGAGCGTTGATTACAGAGAACGTGTGGTGTTTTCCAAGGCACGTGGAGCGCATGGTGTATGCGAATGACTTGCAGGTCACACCGCTGAGCTGTACCTGATTTTGTTTATCATGGCGAATTGACAAACTCTTGTTCAAGATGAAAGTTTACAATCAATACGAGACAGGGTCGAGAGCTGCCTCCGTTTCGTCGATGGGTTCAGAATTGTCCAATGCTATACCGTGTATCCTCAGCCTGACTTTTCGAAGTGTGTGCCATTGACCGATCCAACTGGCTATTGTATGGGTTCGACCAGGTTCGAAGAGTTCTTGTGGGATCGACTCGGGACTACAATTGGCCCGTCAAGGCGGTCTCCGAGGGTCATTGGGGGTTATCTCCTTCGGACCGGGACTACTCTAGCTCCTCCTAGGGAAATAAGGGTGTCGTTAACTCCGGCCAACCCCGACTTCCATGCCCCTTCAACCAGTTGGGTGGAAGGGATGCCTCCCCCGTCGTGGTGGAGAAGTTATTGTGCATCTTACGCGGTAAAGATCGAGGAACTATCTCCATTCGGCAAGGAATCGGGCTTGCAAGGTTTATACTGGCTAGCTTTACTATAAGTACCTCGAACCTCTCCTCCTCACTTAGCCTTTCCTACCCCGCGACACGATACACCACGCCTGTGCAACAAAAAACATCTCCAATATCTCGTCCTAGTATATCGCAATGGGTGATACTAGCAAGGTCGTCCTCATCACCGGAGGCAAGTTCTGACTTGGCCCGCCAATTCTTATTTGAGCAGATCCCACGAGAACAACTTTGACACTGACTCCCTATCAACCAGGCAACACGGGCATCGGCTACGAGGTGGCCAAAGCCCTCGCCGCCTCGCCCACCGCCTACAGAATCATCATCGGCTGCCGCGACACGGCCAAGGGCGACGCCGCGGTCTCCCGCCTCACGACCGAGCTCCCCAGCCCGACGGCGTCCTCCTTCGCGGTGGTCCAGTGCGACCTCACGTCCGACGCGTCCCTCGAGGCCGCGGCCGCCACGCTGGCCCGCCAATTCGACCGGATCGACGCGCTCGTCAACAACGCCGGCGCCGCGCCGGACATGCAGACCCGGCCGGACCCGGCCACGGGGGTGCCCTCCGCGGCCGCCCTGCGCAAGGGCTACAACGAGACCTGGGACGTCAACGTGACGGGCACGCACATCCTCACGACGCTCCTCGTGCCCCTGTTACTCCGCTCGCCGGACCCGCGCCTGCTCTTCCTGACCAGCGGCACGGCCTCGCTCGCCGAGACGGAGCGCCGCGACGGGCCCATGTTCGCGAGGATCAACGCGGCCCCCGAGGACAAAGGGTGGCCGAAGAAGGTCCCGAACCCGGGGATGCCGCTCTCGGGAATGCCCTCGGCGTACCGCGCGGCCAAAGTCGGCCTGAACATGCTGATGCGCGAGTGGGCCCGCGTGCTGCACGTCGACGGCGTCAAGGTGTGGTCCATCTCGCCGGGCTTTCTCGCCACGGGCCTGGGCGGCGCGGGGGCCGATATTCTGCGCAAGGTGAGTTTCGTTCATTGCCTTTTTTTTTTCTTGGACATTTTGTGTGTGCCTGGCGCGGTGTTGGCTGACAATGTGATGATTCTGGTCGGCTAGATTGGGGCTGGAGAGCCGCACAAGGGCGGCGAGTTCATCCGCGACGTCATCGAGGGCAAGCGGGATGGGGATGCCGGCAAGGCTATCCGTGTAGACTCGGTCCAGGCGTTCTGACGGACCTTGCAGCAGAGTTGGTCGTGCCACACCGGCAGTGCTTGTTGACGGGGTTGTAGCTCTAAGATACATGCATGCGGTGTTGCCCACGTTGTATGACGGATTATTAGGGACTGATTACATACCCATGTTCGATGGCTTCGGGGAATGGGGCATATCAAGAAATAGAAAAAAAGAGCCAGATGTGCACGGAAAACCTTATGGTGCAAGTGAAATAGTCCAGTGGACTAGTGGGGGATGGTATCAAGATGTCGAGAATTCTCAATAACACGATGAGATACGCCACCCAGCCCCATATCTTGATGATCGGCAATAGAGTCATTGTACACTACTATATTGGCGTAAGGATGGCGTTTTGAGAGACCAGAACTGTTCTTGCCTTGGTCCTTCTCTTGAATATACCCCATGCCGGCCCCGAAAGGTGCTTTTTTCGAGGACATAAGTCGTGCCTGAAAGGTATTTGCGGTGGCTCCTTTGTACTAGAATGGTAACACGTCTGGCCCCGACGAACTCGATCAAGGCCACCAAACTCTACCGACCTCTGGAGAGCCATAGCTTTTGTCAATGCTATGGGCCCTATAGCGAATTCGTCTACTGGCCCGCCCTGACATGGTACCCTGGGAAGAATTCACACGACAGAAAATCGAAAACGCGCAGAGGGACGTCTGTCTCCAGTCCTTATGTCCAAGCCTCCTCGCTGCGGAGTATCCATGCTCTAACCATAATCGACTTCGAGATTCCTCGAAACGACATTCAGTGGATATGAGTAAGACCAGTAATCATACATGAGGAAAGAAATTCTCACATCGACAGGTTTCTGCCCCGAGATACAGGTTTGGCAGCCCGTATTTACTAGCAGATTTATGCACACATGGATGGCATGTTTGGTTCCAAGATATCATTGTTTTTCATGAAAATTCGTAAGTCCGGGTCATCAAGTAATGCCAACATCTGTACCAAAGCGAGATGAAGCTGCCGAGAAACAAACAAACCCAACAAAAATGTCAAAAAGAAAAGTGCAGCGTGAACGCTCTGATCCCATCCAACCTATCCAAGTCAAACCCTCCCATTTAAACGCCCTCGCGTAGCCGTCGGCAAAGGGGGCACCACCCGGCGCCGCGCATGGGACTTCCCCCCTCTCAGCCCTGCGCCGTCAAGATGCACGTCCATGTATATGCGCGCGCGCGCGCGCGCGCGCGTGTGTGTGTGTGTGTGTACCTGTGCGCCATGTCCCATTTTGTTCTCACCGCGCACCGCCAACAGACCACAGCTTCTCCATGATGGGATCGTGCACGACGCCATCGACCCTCTGGCCCTGCTGGTGCTGCTGGTTCTGCGCAGCACCACCAGCGGCCTGCGCCGCGGACACGGCGCTGCTGGCCGCATTCAT